GGGCCAGCGTAAGTGCGAAGGAGGGCTGCTGCCGACAGCATTTTGAGTCCCGCCCTTTTGCAGCTTCTTCACATCCCCCCAGAGTGCCTCCCAGCTTCCTCCCTGCTTCGGTGAGGCTGTTCGCTGGCTTCCCCCGAGGGCAGCTGGCGCGCTGCCGGCGGTGTCCCCCAGCGGCCGCACGTGCTTACCGGGGACGGGCAAGCTGGGCACCCAGTACGCTCGCGGGTCCGCCGCGAGCACAGCGCGCCCAGCCGGAGAACAGGCGGCCGTCTTCGTTGCGTGAAGCTGCAGCCCGAGGGGCTGGAGGAGCGTCTGCTGCAAGGCTGGCAGGTCGGGCGCGGCCAGTGTAGGAGTCGTCCGAATTCCAAATAGCCATAGAGGTTCGCCTGAGGATCCAAGAGGAGGAGCTCCGCGTGGAACCTGTCCAAGACTATCCTCTGCGCCACGGAGAAAGCAGTGGGCGAGAAGGGTTCCCCATGGCCGAATTCTCTGCCGCTTCCGAGCGAATGGAAGCCCCCCCCCCCCCAGCGTCGCGCCAGAGGTGCCTTTCTGGTTGTCCGTGCCAGGCCAGGAGGGCCGCTGCGGCCACCTCGTCTTGCTCTGCCATGGCTTCTATGGCGGGCGCCCGCTCGAGGGAGGGGAAAGCGGTCTCCAGGTCCAGCTTCGGGAAGACCGCTGTGGGTCTGGTTTCCGCTTGGGCTTCCAGCCTCTGCAGCTGAAGTACGGTGCCGCCGAGCCTTCCGACCCTGCCGTGCTGCCCGTCCACCGGCCGCGGCCCGAAGCTCTTCCTTCCTGACTTGCGCCAGCGCTCGCAAGCCCAGCTGGCGCACAGTAGATCCCGCGATGCGCGGCCGCACGCCGTCGCCTCTCTTTCGGAGCGCCGTCGCCTCCGCGGTGCGGAAGGCTGCCAGAGCCTCCCACGTGAACGTCCCGCAGGCGATCCACCAGATAGTTTCGGCAAGCCATCCCAGGGTCTCGGCCTATAGCTTCGCGTCTCCCTTGTGTCTCAAGCGGTAGCCTAGCAGCCTGGGCGCCGTGAGGCGTGGCGGCCTTCGCAAGAGGCGCACCGTCTCCCCTTGGACGCTCTCGAGCATCTCGGGCGGGAGGCTGCGGGTCGCTCTCCGGCGCAGGCGCGGGCGGAGCCGCCGCGGGGAAACGTGCTTTGCTTCGTCAGGTTCTCGGGGGTGCGGGGCAATGGCTCGCAGCGCTCGCCCTTCCTCTCCAGCTGCTGCGAGGGTGTGGACCCGCGCCGCCCTCTGCTTGTGGCTGCTCTTGGCGGCTGACGCTGGGATCTTTCGCCCGTGCGGACAGATGTCCGCAGCGCGTCCCCCTGGGCCTCCCAGAACCACGCGAGGCGCTCCTCTGGCGTCTCTGCACACGTCGCGGCCTCGCTGCTGGTGCTGAGGAGGAGGAGGAGGAAGAGGAGGAGGAGGAGGAGGAGGAGGAAGAGGAGGAGGAGGAGGAGGAGGAGGGGGAGGAGGAGGAGGAGGAGGAGGAGGAGGAGGAGGAGGAGGAGGAGGACGAGGACGACGAGGTCCAGCACCAGGACAACTGTCCACTTTTCCCTCGCCTCCCCACGCTCCCTGGCGTGCCGGTGGATTTCCAGAGACTTGCGGCGCACCTGCAAGACCACCCCGCGTTGTTTGTCGGGGATCTGCACGGACGTAGTGGCCCTCGTGGTCAGGAGGTCGTTCCACTGAAGTCCCGCCCACCAATCTCGGCCAGGCATCTTGTTGTCATCCCAAGCTGGGTGCTGGATGGGCTGGTCCTGCTGCTGCGCTGGCGGCGCACTCCTGGCGACCCCTCCTGCTCTTTCCGGGGGCACGGGTGCTGCTGTATGCATCTGCGCGGCGTCGACGCTTGCAGCGTCGCCTCTCCCATTTGGCCGGAGCTCCGCACTGGTCGGCAGCTGGCCCTGCAAGCAACCTGTGCACATCCAGCGCGAACACGACCGATTGCCCCATGTGCACACGCGCAGCTCGCCCGTCTCGAAGACCAGGCCACACCACAGGACCTGCAGGCGGCCGGCTGTGCAGAGGGGCCCTGCACGTCAACCGCCCATGCTACCTGCATGATGTGCGCTGGCATCCACCTCCATCGCCCCCTCCTGATCCTCCCCGCCAGGCTCCTGGCGTCGCCAGCCGCTCCCCGCCCGTGCGCGTGAAGCCGCTTGGGACGCGTCGGCCGCCATGCCTCCGGGCGCCAGGCTCGCTGGAGAGTGAAGTTCCCCAGCGGCGATGGGTTCGCAGGCAGCGAGGGCAAAAGAAACTACGCGCGATGAGCCTAGATGTTTCACTCGAGCCAGGAGAAGTGGGAGCAGAAAGGGGACGGGGATGGGGGGTACGAGGGGGAGGAGGAGGGTGAGCCGAATGAGGAGGAGAAGGAGGAGCCGAAGGAGGAGGAGGAGGAGGAGGAGGAGGAGGAGGAGGAGGAGGGGAGGAGGAAATGGACGGGGGATGGGGAGTACGATGTGGAGGAGGCGGACGGCGACGACGAGCAG